CAAAAAGTCTATATACTCAACTTTTCGTGCAAAACAAATGGTATTCTCTGCTTAAACAAAGTCAAAATGACCAATTTTTGCGGATACAATAAAGATGTTTTAAAAATTTCTTTTGGTAATAGCAAAAATAATTACAAACTAAACATTATAATTATAAATATTACATCACACATTATGCACACTGCAACTAGAAAAAGTTGGTAGAATATGTTACGATGGTTTTTGATACTCTTATTAAAGCATACAATTCAGGAACTCGCTGATGTCCAGCACGGCCCTTACCTCGACAAAATGATACAGGATGCTTCGATGCACTGCAGATTCCAAAACGTTCCGGAGCCATGCCTGATTAAATGCCTACCGCCAATATGAAGCAAAAAAGCTTTGCAATAACACCGCGTAATCAAGTTTGGTGAAATTATGTTCAATCATGTAGTTTGTGACGAAACAAAAATCCTTCGAACTTCCGGAGTCGTCAGAGATCGATTTGAATCCTACTTCGAACATGACAAACATTTACAGAGAATTATCGTGCGACCCTGATGCAGGCTCTCTGCATATTATTCAGGTCTAAAAGATTGCAACAACTAAGACGCAAGAGAGGCGACTATTCGTTAATGAACATACAAAAAATTTATTAACGCTGTATTGTGAATTACTCAGTGATAAGGTACGATGATAATGCAAGCGGCAGAACACCTGGATGGCTCTACGTAAAGCATTCAAATGCCCAGGTATGACAATTAACGAAAGACTGTGAGTTGCCGAGATTTTAGTGAATGCTACGCATAGAGATCCACGGAAACTGAGGTCCGTGGTCATGACACCATAGCCATGACACCATCTATAGCACCCTTCCTTTACGGAGCTTATAATCCAGGCGGTACAAGGAGAGAGATCTCCATTTCGAGGTATTTGCCATCAGAGTCTAAAAGCTCAGCGTGTAATCTGTTTTATTACAGTGAGAAAGTGCTAGTTTACTAGCTTCGACGGAAGGTAAAATGAGTTACACTACTACCGTAAACAGAACATGTTGTATTATTGCCATGATCTAGGCACTATGTCGACAGAACTACTGTGCATTTATGTCAGAAGAACGTCACAGATAAGATTTAACAAGAAATAAAAAAGTCTACCAGACAATTACATGCTCAATGTCGCAAGAGGAAGCAAATTACTGTGGCATATTAAAAATGTTTGATTAACAGCATAATTATGAGTATAACAGCGCTGAAACTCATAAACTATCTCAGCAAGTAAGACGTATGTATGCATGCATGTACATGGGTGTATGAACGTATGTACGCATTTGTGTGTATGTTGCCTCTATTTTACATTTTTTCTTCATTGCCTTAGAGTACTATCTACCTTTAAAAGACTCGGTAATTTCAACGGTACAAATGCCGTAGTACAATGATCTCTGTTAACGAAAAAGACCACCAGATGAAAAGATTTCATCAT